GCAAGAGGGCTGTATCCGTAACGCTTATTGTATTCGGAACGTGCCTGGTTCGAATCTAGGCCCCGTCACTGACTGTCCTGCGGTATTTAACGTCTTTCCACATGTTTTCTTCATTAGCTCTAGAGCCCCTTTGGGCCCTGGCCGCTGATTTTGAGTTTCATGATAATTTTACAGACGGTGGGACTCCTTGCGCCAAAGGGGAGAAAATAATCAGGAACAATTGTGATGATCGTAAGGGAACGTAGATTTCTTGCACAGGACTACGGAATTATACAACCCGCAACGCATAGCTGCACGACAAGTTGCGTGGTAGCCGGTAAGTGGACATACGGCGCTGCGCACTCTAACGTGCGCCGGGATGCACCGATCGAATCTAAGGTGCTCCGACACTAGGACAACGCGTACCCTGGCACGGGTTGCCACGTCACGTTTATGAACGTACAAGGTTTCCAGGCTTCCGTCAGCCAGTGAGTCAGAACTCACAAAGCTCCCAGAGCAGTCAGAGAGCATGGTCGTGAGTCTCGTAACCAAGAATGACTGTGCTGGCGAGGGCCAACAGCAATTTAGCAGTCAGGAGAGCAACACGCCTTGTCCTCACACGAATTGCGAAGTGCATTGATGTTGACAGAGGGACTTTCGTAGGTGAACTGTACCAACTTTGTCACTCGAACAATAAATACCGGCATTAGAAACAGTACGTAATATCTCTTTCTTATCAACAGTTTTGGAACTGTACAGTGAAATTACTCTATCTCGGAAACCGTTCGGAACAGGACACGTGTACATATACATTTTTTTTTGCTTAGAATGACCGATACTGTGTCTCTCCTGTATACATTAAAGGAACACTTTGGTTTCTGAGCACGAAACTGAGACACTAGGCGCCTACTTCATCATCACTGGCAGAACATCCCTTTTTTGAGCCACAGCTTTCCTCGGAAGACGCTGCCACGGTTTCACTTCTTTCGATATAGCAACAATATTTATCTTTTTGCAGGTGAAGGTCATCAGCCTTGCGTCCAACCCCAAATCTGGAGGGCCAGGTCCTTGTATTTATGTCCCCAGTGACAGGTTGACCCAGTTATACCCCCAGGCACCGGGATCCCTTTTCGTCGCCTTCTTACGACTCGCAAGGATACGGTGGAGGTATTCTAACCCGCCTCCAAGCGCGGACTGCCTACTTTATACCAAGAATAGACACAGGTACAATACAATAACCGGCCTGTACAAAACTCCTTATCCCAGAAGCATACAACAAACCTGCTGCTGTTTACATAATCGTGGCAAGTTCCTCGCATGCAACGACAGGCTCCATGGGACTGACGGCTCTTGGAACTTCTCCCGTCTCGCTGTAACGGCCACTTATCCTCTTTTCATGTGAATCTTCCCACGAGGACATAAAATGAACTCATAATGGCGAGATCGTGCTTCTCCAATCAGATGTTTCCTTACTAGAAACTACACAATGGGCTGAATTTTCTTTCCCTTTAAATGATATGCCTAAACAAGTTAGGAACTGTACGCAGAGGGCAACAATCCGGGCACGTTCGTTTACTTTTATCTTTAAAGACAATCCGGGAGAGCTCACTGAGTATAACAAGTAGGCTATGGGGCTGAAAAAGTGGGGTTCGATCCCAGGATGAGGCAAGAGACTGGCTCTGAGACCCATCTATCCTCCCATCAAACAGATACTAAAGTTCCTAAGCCTGGGGGTAAAGCGGCAAGGGTGAGACGCTAACCACTCACCTCCATGGCGGAGCTACACCTCTACTCCTCCCATACACTCCCCCATGATTAATTAATTACGCCCAGGGATAACATTTCGTTTTCCTTTGACGCTATATCCTCAATTTGTGCCTTGCCCTACCTCCACGAAACTCTCCGTTTCACTTCGGTTTACTAGATCTTACATTCGGTAGGGCTCCTTGGGTGGGTGATCAGCTCGTCGCTAGGCCTCTACCTGTACACAAACACCAAACATCCATGCCTTGTGTGGGATTCGAACCCACGATCCCGGCTTCCGCGTGAGCGACGACAGTGCATGCCTTAAAGCGCTCGGCTACCGTGACCGGCAGTGTTTTAAACCCAATATTAAATTTCACGAAAAGTCCGTTTGGAGCGTTCTCCAGTTGCTACATGGACACAGACACAGTGAAACTACACAGGGGCATTTTTGCAACTCTTTTGTTTAAGAGCGCGCCACAAGAATGATCAATTGGACATGATGTGTAAGGGAACTGTCTTGCTGAAAACTGAGATATACCTCATCACCAGGGCCCGGATTTTGATGACATGTCACCTTTTCTTCCTTGTATCCTATGCGATGCTCTTAAATATATAAATCTCGGATATGAGCTGCTGGTTACAGAAATGTAAATTTTATAGGTAATTTTTTGTCATTTTTTAACATTTTTAGGTTTAAGGTCATTTTTTCATTTTGGGGGTAATTTTTTGGTAAAATTTTGGTCTTTTAAGGGTATTTATTGTCATTTTTGGCCATTTGAGGGAATTTTTCTTCATATGTTTTTTGAAAAGTGAATAATATGAAAGCGAAGTGTTCTTTCTTTTCTCCTTTTGGTCATTTTTCTGGATTTTTTCGATCATTTTTTGAATATTT